AAGTTGTTCCAGGGCAGGTTTAGATTGGATATTAGGAAGCATTTTTTCACTGATAAGGTGGTCAGGCGTTGGAACAGGCTGCCCAGGGAAGTGTGAGTCACCATTCCTGGAGATATTTAAAAGACCATAGATGTGCCACTTTGGGACATGGTTTAGTGGTGGACTTGGCAGTGTCAGGGTAGTGGTTGGACTCAGGGATCCCCTAAGGGTCTTTTCCAATATAAGTGATTCTATGATTCTGTGATAATGAGTATGTAGGGAGCCATAATCATGTTTGGTGTGGATTAACTCAGAAGCTAATTCCCCAAATCCCATAGGGTCTGCCTTCCAGGCTTAGCTTCATCTGTTTTACCACATCCTCCCAGTCCCCTTTTCAGTTTTGTTTTGTTTTTAAATATGTGTATTTCTCTCACTCCATCTGTTTTTGCATTTTGTAAGCCTCATGGGCAGGTGCTCTCCTCTCCATGTTTCTGCAGTGACTGGCAAGGATTTATTACTGGGAGTCCAAGTTCTACTGAATTGTAATAAGTACAAGAATGACGTGGATCTCCTAAGCCTCTTTGTCCACACTGTTAGCTGTAATATCACCAAATGGAAGGCCACTTGCATGTGTAATGTTTAGTATTAAAGTGATTGTGTGTGCTGTGGTTTATAAATCACATCACGGTAAGAAGCAGGAACTGCTTTGGTCCCAGGCAGCAATGCCAGGTTTCAGCACATCCCTGACTAGAAATGGCTGAGCACTGCAGAACAGATTCACTGACTCAACTCTCATTGGAATTGAGAGAAAATATCTTGTGGTCACCCTAATATATGTTTCATGTTTGTGGCTTTAAATTATGACACAATTACCTGTTCTGTGTCAAAATGTGTTTCATTTCACAAAGGAAATCTTAAAACATTAATTGCTAAAAGGTCTCACAGCTTCCTCTTGCTACTGTAGCCCAAATGTAAACTTCCAATACTTTGTCATTTTACAGCAGCAGTTAAAAAGAGACTGTTCCCAAAATCACAGAGTAGTTCAACTAGAAAGAGACCTCCAGAGTTCATCTATCTGCCACTGCTCAAAGTGGCATCAGCTAGAACAGGTTACTTGGGACTGTGTCCAGATGGGTTTTGAATATCCCTAAAGACAGGCCTCTACCACCTCTCAGCATTCTCTTCCAGTGTTTGATCACCCTCAGAGCAATAGTTTTCTTCTGAGCAACTGCACAAAGGCCTCTGAATTCTCCCTGGTTTTCCTCCCTGGCCACCTGCTTTTGTCCACAGGCCCTTCAGAGCCACCTGCTCTGGGTGGTTTCTCAGAGAAGGTGTGAGTGCTCTGCCCATGACACTTTCCTGTACCCTCATTTATGTGCACAGACTTTATGTGGTCACCCTTCCTCCCAAGGTACCCTGCAGTCTTTGCTCCACCCCTGCCTCCCTTTCATCACTGTTTTCAAGTTCTCCTTGCCAAGCTGCTCTGCCTCTTGGTAGGGATGATTTTACCCCATTTTTCATTCTTACCCAAGGTAACTTGAGAGCAGGAGAACCTCATGCAGAATCACATATGACTTAGATGCAGCAGCACTGATAGAATGGAATAATGAGGAATGCTGATGTGAAGAGAAGTTCTGGGAGCAGGCAAAGTGAAAAGGCAGTAAGCAAGGAAATAGCCTTTTCTCCACTGAGGAAATAATTCAGCAAAAAGAAGAACATGAAGCAGTTTTGTGCTTCTGACATTTATTAAATTTTTTAAATCTTTGATGGGAAATACCTGTGTTGTGAAGATCTCAGCTGTTTGCTGCTGACAAAATGTGGCTGAACTTATGTGTGTGTGTATAGACATATACATGTGCATACACAGATGGCCAAAGAAAGTACTTCTTAGTGAACACTAAGAAGTTGGACTATATTATACTAATATATATACTAATATACTATATACTAATTGTTGGACTATACTTCCAAAAAAAAGAAAGAATCCACACAATGTATGACCCACCCCTATATGACCCTCAAACTGAAATAATCATACAGCATTTCTCCCACAGCACTTCAAATTTATGAACAACAAATATAGAGTCAAAATATGTCCTTCATCCCTGTGATGGGCAACTTATTTCAGACTGTGTTTTAATAGTCTTTCATGCACCCATGTGTCAGATTAAATAGTAGAAATGCCAACTGAATGATAATGTAGTATCATTTCTGGAAGTATTGGCTTTTAACGTTAATCTTCAATGGGATGCTTTACTGCAGGCATGTGCATACATTAGATAACCCTGGCATGCTGAGAGTATTTTAAGACCTACATAATTTTGAAACACCCTTTAATATTTAGTGAAAGTCATGATACATTCCATGCACATAAGATCAGAAGCAGACCTTCCAGGCTTGTTTTACTTCTCAGGATAGATGCCAAATTGGGAGCCCACAGTATTTTGGTTTTCTATAGGAGAGTTAAAATGGCACAACAAGCTGTTCCTCTGACATCTGAGCTCAGTCTTGGGCAGTCAGATCACAAGGTGGAAGTGCCAAGGAGAATAATAAATACAACTGTCTTCACATGCTTATCTTTTAATCTGAGATTAAATATGAGATTTCCAAAACAAATGCTGCCAGCTATTATGGATTCTGGGATGTTGCACTGTGATGTCAGAAAATTCTTTTTAGTTACTGAACTCCAGCCTCTGGTGCTGCCTGTACTGTCCAGAATCAACCTGTTAAATCATAGACAACTTTAATTTGTAAATACTTCTTTCTCGCTTTCTATTTATCCACTGATGATTAAAAAAAAAAAAAAAAAAAGCTGTGTTCTTAGGCTTTAGATTTAAGCAACATAATTTAATATTCACAAAATAAAAGACTAACCCTCCATAATTCATAGATTTTGTAGCAAACAACATGTTTACAGATTTTTACATTGAGTTAGCTGCTGCTTAGAAGGAGGAAGAAGTGAATGTAAGATTAGATTCAAAGCAGTTCTGTGAAATCTATCTGGCCCCTTTATGCAACAACCTGCTACACGGGGGAGAGGAAAAAAATAAATCCTGGCCTTGATGCCAAAACAATATAAACTCCTTTTAGTGTGTTGACTTGTGGAACAAGTGAGGCATGAAAACAAAAGTGCAGAGCCCTCAGTAGTGACAGTGAATATTTTATCTTACCAAGACAAACAACAAGAGACCAAATCCTTAAAGCATATGCCGTGCTGACAGTGCGCTCTCACTGTGACAGTAATGGTATTTGCAATCCCAGCTGCACTCAAGCCTGTGCTGTAAAAGCACCCATTCCTTAGAGTGTGTGTTGCCCTTTACAAGCCCTCAGCCAGATGAACGAGCTCTTCTCTGTTGCTCATGTTGCCCTGTAGAAACGGATGTTTAAACAATTATTTCTCTCCCCCAAAGTGAAATTGTAGAGATTTTGGCATCATTAGCTCTTCTGAAATTTTCACTGTGCTGAAAAGTATCCTTGGGTGACTATAGCTTTTTGCACATAAAGCAATCATTTCTGGGTTTGTAAAATATCTGATATAAGTGTTGGTCTGAAATTCAGGGACTGGATCCTCGTAGAAATGTTGAAGCAAAAGTACCACTGTTACTGCAGTGTTGTTGTTTGAGAGTGATTGGTAAGAATGTTTAGAGGGTGATTCAAGGCTGTGACTAAAAGTATTCACCAGTCTCTGTCAGAGATCATTTTGACTAAGTCTGATGAGGTAAGAGTTGGTGAGCCGATTAAAGATAAAAGAAGTTGCTCCTCTGGGAATGTGTTTGAGTTTGTATGCTCTCCAGCTTTTCCTAGCACCCATTTGTTTGTTGTTCTCTCCCGGTTGAGGCATGGGATTCAGAGGGAATTGGAGAATGTTGCTTATAAATTATGGATTTACTGCCTCACAATTACCATTCTGTCATCAAAAATGTCAGTTTATCCTTCACTAGTCAGTTCTTTCTCTGTTTCTCCATCCTCTGCTTAAAATTGTTCCCCATCACTGCACCCATTCTCAGCCCAGGTCTTTTTGTGGAGACCCAGTCATCCTACACTGACTTCTTATTTCCTACTTCATATTTGAGCAATTCAGGAAGTTTTGGGTGATTTACAAATGTGATTACATGGTAGCATTTCAAGACATCCCAGTATTGCTTTAGAGAGACAGCTTTGAAGAATGCATGTGATGGGCTTTAGAGAAAGTAAGGAAGCAATGTGGATTGTGGTGTGGTAAAGGAGGGATAAGCAGGAGGCACAAATTAAATCCTGGAATTATACATAATTCCTTCTAAATGTGACCAGTTGTGTTCTGAGCTATCCAGAAGTAAGAGCAGCAACCGAGTCACTTCCAGCTTGGCTTAATTCTGAGTTTGATCTCCTGCTTCAGAGCTGCTGACAGGCTGCTTGGAACCCTGTCCACAACTGCAGCCAAGCCCACAGCAGAGCTTCCAGCAGTTACAGGCTCCCAGGCAAGCTCTGGTTTCAGCTCAGCCCCTGCATGCCCTCAGCTCCCACATATTCATTTCTATTGCTACCTAGGCTTGGTGAATTTAGGTTGGGAATTACCCACATTTTTTACCCATCACATTTCTAACTGTACTGTAAGTATCCATTTTATCCTCACCCTATAGGCTCTTTGTAATAGGAACAATATGTAGATGAGCCAAAATAATAAAAAAAAGTTTGCAACTGTTTTTTTTTATTAAGTTGCTAAACTGTAAATTGCTATTTATCCACATGCTTAGATTTCTCTTCTAGTATGCATTGATGTCCAGCATATCGTTTGAACCTCTGAAAATGGTAATACACTGGTTTTGTTTCTACTTACTAAACCCTCTAGAAGTTACAGCATGGCTTCTGACCTGACTGTAGCGTAAGTTCTTTCCACAAGCAACTGTCAAGCTTAGATAGTCCTAAAATAATGGGGGAAGAAGGAATGCCATAGAGAAGAGTTTATTGGGAAGAAGAGGAAAGGATTTTTATCATTTAATAGCACCCCACTTTTCTTGTAATTTTAAAATTCTGTTTTACAGATAGACTTTCTGGTCAAGCTCCAGATGCTTTTGCTTGAGTAGCCTCAACCTCCCTATGGACTCAACAGATGTACCACGAAATGGCATTGCTCACTGGGAATGCAGATCCTGACTTCAGCTCCCGCTCCTTCAACAACTTGGAAAACCTGTGTGAAGTACAAACCAAGAAAGGATTCTTCTACAAAAAGGCCAAACTCCTGCATCCTGGAGAAGACCTGTGCTGCTTAGCTCGCTTGGATGACCGGTCCAGGTTTGTGATCATCAATGTAGGTGGTATTAAGTACAAAATTCCCTGGACCACCTTGGAGAACTGCCCCTTGACCAGGCTTGGGAAGCTAAAATCTTGCAACAATTATGATGAGATCATGGACATCTGCGATGATTATGATGTTAGCTGCAATGAATTTTTTTTTGACCGTAATCCTAGTGCCTTCAGAACGATCATGACATTCCTGACAGCTGGGAAGCTGAGGCTTCTCAGGGAGATGTGTGCTCTTTCGTTCCAGGAGGAGCTTGTGTACTGGGGGATAGAAGAGGACCACCTGGAGTGGTGCTGTAAAAAGAGATTGCGACAGAAAGAGGAAGAGGCAGCTGAGGCCAGGCTGTTTGAAAGGGAGATGGTGTTCAATGAAGCTACGCAATGTGCCTTCCGGGACAGCAGCCGACTGAGTCTGTGCATGCGAAAGCTCAGGGACATGGTGGAGAACCCCCACTCAGGGATCCCAGGCAAGATCTTTGCTTGTATTTCAATCTCTTTTGTTGCCATCACTGCTGTCAGCCTCTGCATCAGCACCATGCCAGATGTCAGGGAAGAAGAGGATCGGGTAAGTGCAGCTTTTCTTGGGGTAGAGCGTGTTTTGCATTCTTGTCTCCTCAGGATAGGTGAAAGGAAAAATCACTCCAGCAGATATGCAGGTATTGTGTTCAGTACATATGATGTGGAGGGCTGGCTGGGTAGAGCACAGAAAGCATTTTGTCACTTAAAACTGAGGCAAGATTGGGCCAAACTCTGCCCTGCTAACACAGCTTAGCCAGTTCACACCAGCAGATAGCCTTGCCCACCAGATTTGTTTTCTAACATGTCTAACCAGACGACAAACTAGCTACTCTGGGGATAAAAACCAGCCTTTCTTCTGGTTTAATGTTTTGAGGTTAAGTTTAGAGCTAACAAATCAATTTTCCCTTAAGGTATTTTAACAATTTGAATGAACTCTCAGTGTGCCAGTGTAAAAACCACATCTAAAGTATTTTGATGCTATAGGGTGATGTAAAGGCCAAGGAAGCTGAGGCAGCAATTTAACAGCAGAAACAGAGCGATTGTCCCAATTTTCAGACCTGCTTAGTATTCTCAAGTGTAAGCTGTGGATGATTCATGCCCTTGAAAATCAAGTCTTAGAGATATTTTGTTTATTCTTTAGTTCATCAGATTTCCTAAGGGTTTAGTCCCTTTTTTGTGCAAGCAGTTCACTTCCCTAGGATTAATTGTATGTAGGCCAGTGACAGCTCATCTGAAAAATGGTAGAGGAGGACATTCACATTTTCTTCACATACGTGCTGAAATGCAATCTGAGCAGTTGGGGGTGGGGACGTGTTGAAGAATTCGTGCCATCTCTAGTTTTACCCAAGTCCAAGCTTGAAATTAAATGTTTGGGCTTATTTCCCAACCCAAATAAATAAATAAATAATGATTTCCCATGTGGTTGTGAACTTCAGCGACTAAGACAGTACTTCACCCCATGAAGTGCTGGCTCTGAGCTGAAGGCTGAGCCCTCCTGGAAGCAGCTCTTCCCATGTGCTGTCACCCAGGGGTTGGATGGCTTGTGCCCTATCGCCACAAGCAGGAAAGAGGGAGATCATCCCCAGACCAGAGGCATTTACTGTTATGTCACCTTGAAAGTAAAAAGCAAGGTGATGGAAAATGGATCCAGCTGCTCCAGAAAGACCCCTGCACCTCGATGAGCACCCTGCGTACAGTTAAACCCAACCTCTGATTGCAAGGTCTGCTCAGGTTACATCTCAGCTGAGGAGTTTGATTTGGGATCAGACTCCTTCAGGAGCAGCCAGGAAAAAACAGAAAACATTTAGTATGTTCACTGATGTATGATTTATTATCAGATCTTTATTTTAAAGGCTTTTTCTGATTTAAAATTTGAGGATGGTATTGGGGACTAGTTCACATTATGTTATCCTAATAACGTTTTTTCAAGATACCATTTCTAAAGCACATGCTTTTTACTGCAATTAACCATCAGGGCTCCAGTATCCTGAATTCTAAGTACAAGAGATATTCTACTGTTGAAAACTGAGATCTATCTAGTGTTTAATTGTTCTCAGGTTTAAGTAAGAGCTGAACTATTGCTTTAAGAATTATGAGTGTTTAGGAACACTATGTTTTTACTAATTGTCTAACATAAGTAGGGATTCATAATAATAGGTTAATAATGGTTTTTTCGGTGGAGCAGGATAATAATGAGGATAGAGCAAGCATATGAGAGAAGCCTGGATTTCTCTTTCTTCCTTCTCTAGAAGGAGCATATTTTCATAGTCAAATGCAAAATTTTGCAATAAAGATGAATGCAAGCTTACTCATGTAAAAGAAGGGACTCTGATTCCCAGAATGAGGCTCTAAATAATATTTAGGTACAAGCAACCATAAATTCCTATTGCAGCATAAAGTCAGAAGGGTTAATGCTCTCCTTGAATGTCTAAGCTGGGGAGTGTTAATAAGAAGCTGGAAGATTCTTTTGCACCTCTATGCAGTATTGGTGAGACTGACACTAGAATACTGCAGTCAGTCCTCACATTCATGTTTTTCATGGTGTTTTGAAAAATTAGGAGATGGCTAAAGCCCTGTAAATCTTAGACACCTGGGGAAAATGCCATACAATAAGAAACTTGAACATTTGTGTTGATTTAAATTATTGGAAGGAAGGTGAGTGGATTAGTCACACAAGTGAGTTGTTTATGAGAGGAGAAGAACTACATCATCTAAAAGACCTTTACAATAAGCAGGAGGATGATGCATGGATAAAGGCTGGATCCTTATACATTCATATGGGAAACTATATGACAGTATTTAATACCAAGGTGATTCATTACTGGGACAGGCTAGGAAGAAAATTAGTGGATTTTGTGCTTTTAGACATTTTCAGTTGAAAGCTCAGTGCCCTTTTGTTTAGCACTCAGCTAAACAGATTTTACTTCAATCAAAAGAAAAACATCAATTGCAGATCAAGTTACAAAGGTGAAATTCTTGCAATACAGAGAAGATCAGAATAAATTATCCAACGTTCTTCTGTGCCCTTAAATTCTGAAAGTACAGAGCTCCTGCAAGTAATCTTTGTTCTGTGCTTTGGACAGGGAAGGTCTGTGGACAGACTGGAAATGGTTATTTTGTTTGAGACAAAGGTGGCTCTCTTGCACAGGGGACTGGTGAAGGATCACTTCTGGTAAGGCAAGGAGGAGGCATCTGCCCACTTGGAGTCACCTGTAGGGTCTGGGGCCGTGGCTGCAGACTCCCTGCATGTACTCCCTATGTGGCTTAGCAAGCCAAGGCAGATCTGCAAGTAACAAGCATGGAGATAAGAGAGCTTATGTGAATTCAAATTCGTGGTAATCATCCTGAGCTGTATTCCCAGTATCTAGATTAAAATTTGTGCCCAGGGATAGCTCTTTAGTCTGGCTTTGCTGTCTCCTAACAAGCAGAAAAAGGATGTGCATCCCTCCTGACTAAGGAACAAATAAATAGTAAATACTATTTCAAAGGCACACCATACTCAGTGTGCACATTTTCCAGGCTTTCTGGCTGGCATTGCTGTTGTTATGGTTCCATGTCAGGGCTGTCATAGGTGCTCTGGCTAGCAAACAGTGGCCTTTTCCTTGAGCTGCTGTTGCCACAGAAAACAAAAGCTCTATGTGCCATCTATCTGTTGTGTTACTGCTTCAAGGAAAGGCAGAGAGGCCAATTATGAAAAAAGCCATGCTGGGGAGCAATTTTCCATACCCTGATCCTTTAATGCCATCTGAACGGACAAGCTGTTACACCAAGTGATGTTCTGCAGAGGTGTGAAAGACCTCACACAAGATGTAAGTTTGGGACCTTAAAAGTTAGAAGTAATTACCAGGTGGGTGAGGAAATTATTTTAGGTGCCTGCCTTTCTCTTTTAAAATAGAGCAGAAAACTCAATCATACATTTTGTTAACTTTATTAGCTGCTCCAGGTATTCTGGATGATAGTGGCAATCCCTGGTGGTTTAACAAGAGTGGGAAGGCTCATGCTCCCCTGTACTGTAAATACTTGTTCTTACTAAAGGTCACCTTGATTCACCTTAAGTGTTACTATTCTTTTGGAAGTAGTATCATGTATTTCAGATGCTGCACAATTGTCAGTAGAGTTAACAGAATCAGATCCTGAGCTACTTTTCACTTACCCAAGTAGGATATATATTTAGTCTTTTTTTTTTCTCATTTAGCTTTTATTTGCTTATTAAATTAAATAAAAGCCACCAATCCAGTGATGTGTATAATAGTTCCTTCTGGAAATTTCAGGAAAGGGACATTCAAGTATGTGAAGAAAACAAATGCGAAGGCAGTCAGGTTCTTCTATGTAAAGTAACAAGACAATGATAAACTTTTTATTTCAAAATTTTCAGAATGGGAGATTTCAATGAGAGATTTAGATTTCATGATGAAAAGTCTCCTCTAAAGGCAAAATCTGCTGAGACAAAATCGTAGCAGGAGCCTTCAGGCACCAGGCTCTTTCAAGACCACCACAAAAGTCATGTCCAAGACATAAAAATAGCCAGAGGCACAGAGTATCCTCAAGGCATTTTAGGCATATCCTACCTTTAAGTGGACTTCTCACCTCTCTAACAAACAGCAGCTATCGAGTGACTCAAAGAAAGTAGCTAATACATCACAGAAGTAAATCAGTCAGGGATGTATTACAGCAAAAGCTGCAAACACACAGTAAGAATTAAACAACCAAAAGACATTCAGAGAGGTTCAGCTGAAAGCCAGATGGCCATCATACTAGACTCTTCATTGTTTTTCTTGGTAAAGACAGAAATGTCAACAATTTGTCTCTGAAGACAAATCTTCTCTTTTTTGTTAGACAGCAGCCTTTGTCATCAGAGAAGAAAAGGTGGAACTTAGAGAACAATATCAAACATTCTGTCCTGATTCAAAAAAGCATTTATAGGCCTGAGACCCCTGAGCTCAGTCATTTGTAGCAGCACAGGGCAAAACAGGAGAAGCAGATCAGAGAGCTCATTCTTTACCGCACTTCGTAAACGTGTTGGGAAAAGATAGCCTAATTAGAGATGCTGTGATAGGAAGTTACAGTTCAATAACCTTCAGCTGAAGAACATTACAACAAAGAGACTTATAAATAATGAAGTTAATAATAGCTTGTAAAGAAGCCAAAACTATTTAACCTTCTAAGCTCAATTTACACACTGTGCTTTAACTTCCATAACGTTGAGGATGGGGAATAGGTAAATTGTGAACGTGCATTTTAAACAATCTTGTGGCTAAAGGTTTCATTTCACAAAGGTACACACAAAAGTAATCTCAGAGATGGTTAAGAGAGTCTTGTATAATGATTCTCAATAGCCTTTCATAGACAAACTGTTCTGTAAGAAGCTGGATGAGCAGACAGTGAGGCTGACTGAAAACTTTCCTAATGGCCATGCTCTGGGCATGGTGGCCAGTGACACAGAGTCCAGTTGGAGGCCAGTAACTAACAGTGTGCCCCAGGGGTCTGTACTGGTTCTAGTCTTGTTAGAATTCTTTATTAGTGGCCTGGAGGGTGAAGCAGAGTGTA